TCTAACTTTCACGTAAACCAATTAATTTACACGTATTGGGATTTTTTTTTAGCAAAGACATGTAGCAAAATACATTTTGCCTAAATTTATGACGAAATTTGATTTATTTAATTTTTTATTGAATATATTTTATAGCAAAAAGTAAAAAGAAAATGGTTTTTGGTTGATATCGCAAATAATAAATACCACCAAAAGAAAGCTGTGAAAAATAAATTGATGTAAATTCCATTTGGGTACAGCATTGCATGACCGCACAATTATCAGTTAAAGTAGCATATTGCTAAAAAGGAAAAAATGCCCTGGTTCTGAGGGGGTAAAACCTTCTGGAGCTCAAGTTGTAAAAAAAAGAGCATTTATTTATTGTTTAAGGAGCCTGTAAAGCATTGCACCCACGGTGAGCAGATTGTGGGTGCAGTTTCAGGCTCCTGCAGGCTGTCTGTGTAGCTGTCTGTCTGTATCTTCTATATGGGCAGGTAGTTACTGAATGATAGGGAGGATCAATGAACTACCTAGAGCACTCACCAGCAACCTGGTGGTTCATTGAGAATTACAAGCTGTCAGCTGCAAAGGCTGATGGTAGTTGTAGTTCATTAACAGAACTGCGACCCCCAGGGGGTTGGGGGGGGGAACAGGCAGATGGGAAATATGTTACATGTTACAGTACACTCTATATGTGGGTGTATCATTCACAAAGGTGAACTTATCCTTTAAATACCCTGAATGTACACAGTAATACCTGTGTAATGATCTGTCTGCAGTGCACTCAGGTCCTAGATTCTTTTGTTGGCTGACAACAGACAGCATTTTGGTGCACTGAGTGGTGTCAGCCCTCCCACTGACTTTTTTGCCAAACTACTCAACCACTCCCACTCTTAGATCTCTACAACATAAAGGCTATTTATTCTGTAGTCCATGATAGGAACTAGGAGGGCTAATTAGGTTCCTTGAGATAACACAGAAAACATGCACAGGACAGATCTGAATTCCTGGCAAGGTCAACATGTATTTTTTCACTTATTAACCACTTCCCATCCAGCCCATGTATATAAACGGCCGGACGGGAGCAGTGCAGGAGCGGGTTGCCGTTCATAAACGGCGCCCGCATTTTCAAGCTGTGCGCGCTCCCTGGGAGCTGTACGGGACCTGTGTGTGTGTGGTCCCGATCATGTGATCACTGATTGGCCAATCAGTGATCACATGAATAGTAGTAAGCAAGATGTCACTTCTGACATCATTGCTTACTACTTGTGAAACCTGTGACTGATCAGAGAGATCACATGGTACAGGGCTATTCACAACAGCCTTGTACCATGTGACAATCTGTAACCAATCACAGCTCACACAGTATTTCTCAATGGCTGCAAGAATGCAGCCAGAGAGAAGGAGACATGATTGCTTTTACAACATTTATGTGCGTAAAAGCAATCAGTGTAAAAAAAAAAAAAAAATCATCATCACCTCCCGCAAGTAGTACATTGTCCACTATGGTGACATCGTACTGCTAGGGTGACAGTATGTTAAAAAAATTAATAAATAATAGTATAAAAAATTTAAAAAAGGAAAAAAAGGTTTTGAAAAATTATAATTTTTCGTTATAAAACTAATTTGAGTTTTTTTTTTTTGTTTTTTTTTACTAAAAAGATAACCAAATACATTTTGGCCAGGCTTTATGGAGAAAGATTATCAGGTCAGGTGATTGACTTGGCCATTGCATAACATTCCACTTCTTTCCCTTAAAAAACTCTTTGGTTGCTTTTGCAGTATGCTTTGGGTCATTGTCCATCTGCACTGTGAAGCGGCGTCCAATGAGTTCTGAAGCATTTGGCTGAATATATTGCCCGAAACACTTCAGAATTCATCCTGCTACTTTTGTCAGCAGTCACATCATCAATAAATACAAGAGAACCAGTTCCATTGGCAGCCATACATGCCCATGCCATGACACTACCACCACCATGCTTCACTGATGAGGTGGTATGCTTAGGATCATGAGCAGTTCCTTTCCTTCTCCGTACTCTTCTCTTCCCATCACTCTGGTACAAGTTGATCTTGGTCTCATCTGTCCATAGGATGTTGTTCCAGAACTGTGAAGGCTTTTTTAGATGTCATTTGGCAAACTCTAATCTGGCCTTCCTGTTTTTGAGGCTCACCAATGGTTTACATCTTGTGGTGAACCCTCTGTATTCACTGTGGTGAAGTCTTCTCTTGATTGGTGACTTTGACACACATACACCTACCTCCTGGAGAGTGTTCTTGATCTGGCCAACTGTTGTGAAGGGTGTTTTCTTCACCAGGGAAATAATTCTTCGGTCATCCACCACAGTTGTTTTCCGTGGTCTTCTGGGTCTTTTGGTGTTGCTGAGCTCACCGGTGCGTTCCTTCTTTTTAAGAATGTTCCAAACAGTTGTTTTGGCCACGTCTAATGTTTTTGCTATATCTCTGATGGATTTGTTTTGTTTTTTCAGCCTAATGATGGCTTGCTTCACTGATAGTGACAGCTCTTTGGATCTCATCTTGAGAGTTGACAGCAACAGATTCCAAATGCAAATAGTACACTTGAAATGAACTCTGGACCTTTTATCTGCTCATTGTAATCGGGATAATGAGTGAATAATACACACCTGGCCATGGAACAGCTGAGAAGCCAATTGTCCCATTACTTTTGGTCCTTTAACAAGTGGGAGGCACATATGCAAACTGTTGTAATTCCTACACCGTTCCCCTGATTTGGATGTAAATACCCTCAAATTAAAGCTGACAGTCTGCAGTTAAAGCATATCTTGTTCATTTCATTTCAAATCCATTGTGGTGGTGTATAGACCTGACTGTATATAGCAAAAAAAAAAATCCCAATGGTGAATAAATACCACCAAAATAAAGTTTTATCTGTCTCAAAAAAATGCTAAAAAATCCATATGGGTACAGTGTTGCATGACCGCGCAATTGTCATTCAAAGTGTGATAGCACTGAAAGCTGACAATTGGCCTGGACTGGAAGGGGGTCAAAGTGTCTGGACTTGAAGTGGTTAAACAGATGAACCAATATGTGTTCAATTGTATATACAGTGGGTCAAAAAAGTATTTAGTCAGCCACCAATTGTCCAAGTTCTCCCACTTAAAAAGATGAGAGAGGCCTGTAATTGGCATCATAGGTAGACCTCAACTATGAGAGACAAGATGAGAAAAAAATCCAGACAATCACATTGGCTGATTTGGAAAGAATTTATTTGCAAATTATGGTGGAAAATAAGTATTTGATCAATATGAAAAGTTCATCTCAATACTTTGTTATATATCCTTTGTTGGCAATGACAGAGGTCAAACGTTTCCTGTAAGTCTTCACAAGGTTGGCACACACTGTTGCTGGTATGTTGGCCCATTCCTCCATGCAGAGCTCCTCTAGAGCAGTCATGTTTTGGGGCTGTCGCTGGGCAACATGGACTTTCAACTCCCTCCGAAGGTTTTCTATGGGGTTGAGATCTGGAGACTGGCTAGGCCACTCCAGGACCTTGAAATGCTTCTTACGAAGCCACTCCTTCGTTGCCCGGGCGGTATGTTTGGGATCATTGTCATGTTGGAAGACTCAGCCACGTTTCATCTTCAATGCCCTTGCTGATGGAAGGAGGTTTGCACTCAAAATCTCACGATACATGGCCCCATTCATTCTGTCCTGTACATGGATCAGTCGTCCTGGTCCCTTTGCGGAGAAAAAGCATGATGTTGCCACCCCCATGCTTCACAGTAGGTATGGTGTTCTTTGGATGCAACTCAGCATTCTCTCCCTCCAAACACGACGAGTTGTGTTTCTACAAAACAGTTCTATTTTGGTTTCATCTGACCATATGACATTCTCCCAATCCTCTTCTGGATCATCCAAATGCCCTCTAGCAAACTTCAGACGGGTCTGGACATGTACTGGCTTAAGAAGGGGGACACGTCTGGCACTGCAGGATCTGAGTCCCGTGCGGCGTAGTGTGTTACTGATGGTAGCCTTTGTTATGTTGGTCCCAGCTCTCTGCAGGTCATTCACTAGGTCCCCCCGTGTGGTCCTGGGATTTTTGCTCACCGTTCTTGTGATCATTTTGACCCAACGGGGTGAGATCTTGCGTGGAGCCCCAGATAGAGGGAGATTATCAGTGGTCTTGTATGTCTTCCATTTTCTAATTATTGCTCCCACAGTTGATTTGTTCACACCAAGCTGCTTGCCTATTGCAGATTCAGTCTTCCCAGCCTGGTGCAGGTCTACAACTTTGTTTCTGATGTCCTTCGACAGCTCTTTGGTCTTCACCATAGTGGAGTTTGGAGTGTGACTGTTTGAGGTTGTGGACAGGTGTCTTTTATACTGATAACAAGTTCAAACAGGTGCCATTGATACAGGTAGTGAGTGCAGGACAGAGGAGCCTCTTAAAGAAGAAGGTACAGGTCTGTGAGAGCCAGAAATCTTGCTTGTTTGTAGGTGACCAAATACTTATTTTCCGCCATAATTTGCAAATAAATTCTTTCCAAATCAGCCAATGTGATTGTCTGGATTTTTTTTCTCATTTTGTCTCTCATAGTTGAGGTCTACCTATGATGCCAATTACAGGCCTCTCTCATCTTTTTAAGTGGGAGAACTTGCACAGTTGGTGGCTGACTAAATCCTTTTTTGCCCCACTGTATAACAGAGCAGTCAAGAGAAGCACATTTTTAAGAGTCACGTATTGCTGATTTCTATGGTACACTCAGAAGGCAATACCGGTCAGCACTTTGTTGATCGCTGGAGGCATCTTAAGTAGCCAAGGAACACTTGAGTTGTAACTGATGGTCAACAGAATGTCAATATGCAGATGTTGCAGGAAGGAACAATGAAACACAATAAACGCCAACAGAACCATTTATTAAACTGTATCGTTCTTCGCACTGCTACAGTAGTAGGATTAGTCCGGACCTTTGAGAGCATTGGAATCCGAAGCTTGCTGAAAAGTTGAACAGGAGAAATGATGGTTGTTTTTTTCTTCTCAGAACCTGGCTGAAAAGTTGAAGCATCTTCCACTGACAGAGAAGAACCTTAAAATGTTCAACAACGCTACTGAAAACCACATCCCCGCTCACAACCGCCAGTTCTCATGTAAAGAATGTGACAAGATGTGGTGGCGAAGGGTTCCACAGAGGAAAGAGGTGGGTGGTCAGAAGACAAGTGAAGCAGTGGTGGGGTATTCTATTGTACTTGTAGGGTTGAACCTAATATACAGTGCATGTATTCAGACCCCCTTCACGTTTTCAGTTTTGTTATGTTGCAGCCTGATACTACAGTTGTATAAATGTTTGTTTTTTTTTTTCCATAAAGCTACACTCAGTACCCCATAATGACAAAGTGAAAACAGAATTTTAGCAATGTCTGTGAATTTTATTAAAAAGAAAAAAGTGAAATCTCACATGTACTTAAAGTGGAGGTCCAGTCGGAATTTAAAAAAAAAATAAAATAAAATCAGCAGCTACAAAAACTGTAGCTGCTGACTTTTAAAAAACGGACACTTACCTGTCCTCACACCAGCTGAGTTGACCAACCGTCCTCTCTCCTCGGCGCCGGTATCTTCAGTGTGCTTCAGACAGCTTGAGGCTTCTCAGCAAGGTGCCCACTGCGCTGCGCATGCGCGAGTAGCATTAAGGTGAAAAAACGTAAGGTTTTAGAACCACTTTAATGTCCATCTCCACCCATACATAAACTATCTTCCCTACCCATTCCCATCTAACAGCATTTGCCATCACACCCTAAACATCTCCACTGACCACTGGTGGTCCAGCACTGGTGTCCAGGCCCACCACCGACTGGACTTCCATCCTTCTTTATCATGTCATCATGCTGCTGCAGTCTTCAGCCCTTGAAAGGACTTCAACATTGGACCACCAGCTGGAATTGTCCACGTCAACCAGGCAGAGGCATGAGCATCTAAAGAAAGAACCTTCAACTCTAATACAGAAGATAGTAAAACTAGGGTCCTGGCATGTCATGTGACCACGGATTAAGGTGAGTAAGTGGGACTTTCAGATTAGTTTTTTTTTTTTTTTTTTGCATTTACGCTTAGTTGGAGGGGGTGGGGGATCACCTCCCTGGTCATTATCTCTAGGGTTAGGTAAATATTTGATTGGCCATGGCCTGGCCACAGGTTCACATTATCCCTTTGTTTGCATGCACACCTAGCCTCATCCCTAAAATCTTGCCTCTCCCCTCTCCACAACAAGTAATCCTTGACTTACCGAGAGCTGTCAGAGCCAAAACTAATAATCCGTAATTCTTTCAGGTACTTATATAGCGCCGTCAATTTACGCAGCACTTTACATATATATTGTACATTCACATCAGTCCCTAACACTCAAGGGGTGTACAATCTAAGGTCCCCAACTCACATTCATACATACACATACTAGGGGCAATTTAGACAGGAGCCAATTCACCTACCAGCATGTCTTTGGAGTGTGGGAGGAAACCCACACAGGTACAGGGAGAACATGCAAACTCCAGGCAGGTGGTGCCGTGGCTGGGATTCAAACCGGCGACCCTAGTACTGCCAGGCAGAGGTGCTAACCACTTAGCCACTGTAATGCCGTGGTAATGGGAACAATAGACTAGAGTAGTCCTTAAACTTTAATGTGGAAAGCAAGTCAAAACCTAACTCATCTTAAATCTACTCTAACATCATTCTAAGTCTATTCTATGTACACTGTTGCTCCAGTCCAGCCATGTGATCGGGTCCCAGTGCCAGCTTCAGAGGAGGGACAACGGACAACTGATGCCCCATGGTAAGCCTGACATCATCACACAGGCTCTGCAGCCATTGTTGACGATCTCTCCTACACTGAAGCCGGCGTTGGGGAGATCATGTGACCAGATCAGAGTGACTTCAGAATAGGTAAGCATAGGCATCTTTCCTTTTACAGGGCAGACAGGCTTTGAGTGGGGGCAGGAGTGGAATAAAGCTAAGGTAGGTTTTGACTTGCCTTCCACGTTAAAGGATACATATACCTTTGGAACATGTTACATGTTCCACCTGTTTTTTGGGTGGAAAATGTAACATGTTCCCATAGCCGCAGATGTGCCCGCCACCCCCCCTCTCCCTCTTGACAGATAATATGGGGTGAAGTTTCCCCGTACTATCTGTTAGATTTGAAAACAGTGTGGCTGTCCACATGGCTGCGTCATTCATTTACAGAGTTCTATGAATGAGTGCCTACAAGTCCTGACAGCCTTAGCAGCTGTCGGCTTGTAGTTTTCAATGAACTACCACAGAGCTCTGGAGCGCCGTGGTAGTTCATTGAAGCTTCCTGTTAGAATATCTGCTTGGCCATACATCCCGTACAGCAAACAGATATTCTGACAGGTCTGCAGGAGACCTGCATGGCACCAGCGGTCTACTGATCGCTGGTGCAATGCTTTCCAAGCTCCTTTGGACAAAAATATTAAATGCACATGTTTTTGCTTAATAAATAATAAATTTATTATTTTTGTCTAAAAGGTGAACTTATCCTTTTAATGCTATGCTGTGATCAGTCTGAATTCCTTGTGTTGTCATAGACCTAAAAGGCAGGATATTCGGTTACAAATGTGTGCACACACACTCCCCCTTCCCATCTTCTGATGTCTGGATTTTCATTCAACTTAATTCTACTGAAACAGTTAATCAGTGCAGGGCTAGTGCTGGGCTTTCTTTTTTGACAACCAGCATGTTCTGCAAACCCACTGTCAACAAATCACCCTGTATTTAATGTTTTATTAGTAGAACAATATTTTAGACAAAAAAAATAAAAGTCACTTTATGGGTGATATATTAATGCCATGCATATATCTCCATATACTGTACGCAATCTACTGAGTGCATCCAAAAACATGTAACTTAAATACTTGTGAATGTAATAATGACCACAACTTATAGTCCTTTATATGTGATATTATCTGTGCATATATAAAAAACTTTGTGCCAGACAGGTGCTCCTTTTTTCTTTTGTCCACATATATTCTTTGATGTGCTCCTCGACCAGAGACATACAGATATACTCTCACCTCCTTCTATGACCCAAATTGCATAGGTCAAATAGTGCCTTTCCCTTTAACCCGGGTAGGTATAATGTATTGCTAGCTCTACAAGCCTCCTCATTCTGCTACAGATGATCTCACCTCCTTCTTTATCCCACATATCCTCCGCATATGTAAACAGAAAAACCTGACATAGTGTAGTACTCAAATACTGAATAATCTATTAAAGTAACAAAGCGCACTCACATTTAAAAGTGTCCTGCTGGGACACCACAGTAAAAACGCCTGTCAAATATTAACTCCAGTGCATTTAAGGAAGTTCCAAGATGGCGGCTCGTAAACTTTCAGTTTAGCGGCTTGACGTCATCAGCCCACCCTACGTGTTACGTCACGTCACTTCCTCGGGAGATCCCGATATCTTTGTATTTTTTTCAACAGTATGTGTATTTATGAATGTGAGTTAGGGACCTTAGAATGTAAACTCCTTGAGGGCAGGGACTGGTGTGAATGTATAATACATATATAAGGTGCTGCGTAAATTGACGGCACTATGTAAGTACCTGAAATAAATAAATAATTGATTCATATGCAGTACAAGTTGGTGACTGTTTGTAAAGACAATGCCCTGCATTTAGATCAGTAAAAAAAAAAAAAAACACCTTAATGTCTAAAAATGGGGCATTTTTAGGTGTCCATGTGCAAGAGGACTAAAATTGCGTACTGTGAGAACTAGCATCAAGGGTAGAGCTTTTACAGCACACAGCCACTCGCTTTCTTCTGTTTTAGGGCCTTTTAGCCCAATTTTATTTAAAGAAAAGTTCCATAACATATGTTGCCCACGCAGGGGTATCCACCATCAAAACAAATGAAACAAATATTCAGCCTCCTGGCTCTCTCAGGTATACAGCCCCTTGCTGCTCTGGCTCCCACCTCTCCTAGGTGGAGCCCTCCTGACTCCTGGGCAATGACCTCCTGTCTGCCGGGGTGGAGCCCAGACCCATGGTTAGGCCTCTATAAAAAGGCCTGCACACACCTGTGCAATCAGTGTGCTGGCTGTTCACAAAACATGGACTCAGGATTGGAGATTTCATCCCTCCCAAATCACTTCGAAATTTTCAGGCCCCAGGTCCCAAAACTGGCTTTACGAACCAAAGAGGAAACTGACAAACGTGTTTCCTCTGCATTAAGCAAACTGCCTGGAGCCCCTCAACCTGTATAGTTGAGAATCCAGGGTCATAACCTTGCTTTAGTATATCTATAAATTAGTGAAGCGCCATAAAATTTATATATACCATAGTGTCATTAATAACTCATAGTGCTCTGTGATAACAAGCTGATAAATTCCCCAAAAAATTTATACCAGACAAATAATAAATAAATAAAATTGGTGACAAACAAAATAGATAAGTGATAAATATATCTTGTGTATCCAAAATAATTCATGAATCAAGTTATTAAACTGATAACTGTGAATCACACAAATAAATCATCCGTGTATATATAAAAAACAAGTCCATGCAGGTGTAACTTGTGAAAAAAAAGAAGGTGATCTTCACTTCTAGTGCACAAAATCCTCAAATGGCAGCAGTGCCTGCTCACCTCCCCACACTGACCCACACAGGGCCAAAGGGCTATTAATCTCCTCTATGGCCGATCCTTATTGCAGATTGCTCATCCAGGGATCGCAGGATTTCCACTCCACCTCCACTCAATGGTTATATAAGACACAAAAAAGAACCTCCATAGTGCAATATTGTTTAATGAAAAGAGTTTATAACATAATGGTTACACTCACATTTTTCTCCTTGTCAAAAACAGCATTTCACCTCATCCCATCGGTGTATAACATGAAACAAGGGGAACCAATATGGCCGCTGCGTCCGGACATGCGTCCCCACGTGACCGGAAATGACGTAGCCCAAAACCGGATATGGCGTACCGACGCGTTGCGCCATACCCTGATGAAGTCACGATGCACGTGATGCAACGCGTCGGTACGCCATATCCGGTTTTGGGCTAGTCATTTCCGGTCACAAGGGGACGCATGTCCGGACGCAGCGGCCATATTGGTTCCCCTTGTTTCATGTTATACACCTATGGGATGAGGTGAAATGCTGTTTTTGACAAGGAGAAAAATGTGAGTGTAACCATTATGTTATAAACTCTTTTCATTAAACAATATTGCACTATGGAGGTTCTTTTTTGTGTCTTATATAACCATTGAGTGGAGGTGGAGTGGAAATCCTGCGATCCCTGGATGAGCAATCTGCAATAAGGATCGGCCATAGAGGAGATTAATAGCCCTTTGGCCCTGTGTGGGTCAGTGTGGGGAGGTGAGCAGGCACTGCTGCCATTTGAGGATTTTGTGCACTAGAAGTGAAGATCACCTTCTTTTTTTCACAAGTTACACCTGCATGGACTTGTTTTTTTATATATACACGGATGATTTATTTGTGTGATTCACAGTTATCAGTTTAATAACTTGATTCATGAATTATTTTGGATACACAAGATATATTTATCACTTATCTATTTTGTTTGTCACCAATTTTATTTATTTATTATTTGTCTGGTATAAATTTTTTTTGGAATTTATCAGCTTGTTATCACAGAGCACTATGAGTTATTAATGACACTATGGTATATATATAATTTATAGCACTTCACTAATTTATAGATATATTACTTGATCACTTATTGGTTTTAGTCGAGTGACAGCAGCTTTTAATATAGGGATTTCATCTATATAAAGCGCAGGAGGATACCCCCAATCAACCTTGCTTTAGACTGTGGCAGGATACCACACTGCCACAGTACATTTTCAAAAAGTAACTAAACGCAATTGACCAAATGTCAGTAAAGTTTCCCATTAGGTCAGATGTTATCCTACTAGGCCAAGCCTCCTCTCTAGCTTATGCTCCGGAGCGGGGAGGTACTAGTTTTGGATAACACTTTGTCAGCATTGAAAACATTGAATTGGACCTGAGAGTTGGAAAATGGCAATTCAGTTCTGAATAGGAACCTTTACTAAGACTCCCAAGAAATGTTGTGACATGTTCTATTACCGTGCTCTCTTCTCTGTTCAGGTGTCCAGATGTCACAACTGCCGGAAGAAATATGACCCAGTACCTTATGATAAGATGTGGGGGATCGCCGAGTTTCATTGCCGGACCTGCAACCGGATGTTCAAGTAAAGCAAAGAGGAAATCTAAGAATTATTCTTCTCTTTCTTCCTGTTTATTATCCAGGATACACTGTGCAATCCCACCACCATTATTTCAATGCTCTCACCTGACTTTATGTTGATGTTTGTTCTTATGCGCTTTCTCCTTTAAGGCAGGGTGCCTATACTAGGAATGGTGTTTCCCTTAACAGGCCAGTGGATCAGCGGCTACAGCTAATCGGCTTCAGAGCTGATCGATGTATTCTGACGGCAGAGGAGTTTCCGCTGTCAGAATACAATAGCGCAGCTGGGAGGATTCCTCCATCCACCTTGCTTGTGTGGAGGGGGGAATCCATTCATTTTTTTATTTTTGATCAGCCCACTGGCTGATTAAAAACAACCTATCTATGGCCTGCCTAAGGGGCCCATTTTATAAAGCAAGCAGTATGGCCTAAAGCTGCAATAGCATTGCTTTCTATTAGAAGCTGCCCTGGCCAGTGCTCTGCATGATAGTAGTTAATGCATGAGATGCCAGAGCAGTGTGGATGCCTATTATACTTCTTTTTTCATGTTTAAAGTGGTTGTAAACCCTCACATACAGCAGGAAAAATACAGTCAGGTCCATAAATATTGGGACATCGACACAATTCTAACATTTTTGGCTCTATACACCACAATGGATTTGAAATGAAATGAACAAGATGTGCTTTAACTGCAGATTGTCAGCTTTAATTTGAGGGTATTTACATCCAAATCAGATGAACAGTGTAGGAATTACAACAGTTTGCATATGTGCCTCCCACTTGTTAAGGGACCAAAAGTAATGGGACAGAATAATAATCATAAATCAAACTTTCACTTTTTAATACTTGGTTGCAAATCCTTTGCAGTCAATTACAGCCTGAAGTCTGGAACGCATAGACATCACCAGACGCTGGGTTTCATCCCTGGTGATGCTCTGCCAGGCCTCTACTGCAACGGTCTTCAGTTCCTGCTTGTTCTTGGGGCATGTTCCCTTCAGTTTTGTCTTCAGCAAGTGAAATGCATGCTCAATCGGATTCAGGTCAGGTGATTGACTTGGCCATTGCATAACATTCCACTTCTTTCCCGTAAAAAACTTTGGTTGCTTTTGCAGTCTGCTTTGGGTCATTGTCCATCTGCACTGTGAAGCGGCGTCCAATGAGTTGTGAAGCATTTGGCTGAATATGAGCAGATAATATTGCCCGAAACACTTCAGAATTCATCCTGCTGCTTTTGTCAGCAGTCACATCATCAATAAATACAAGAGAACCAGTTCCATTGGAAGCCATACATGCCCACGCCATGACACTACCACCACCATGCTTCACTGATGAGGTGGTATGCTTAGGATCATGAGCAGTTCCTTTCCTTCTCCATACTCTTCTCTTCCCATCACTCTGGTACAAGTTGATCTCGGTCTCATCTGTCCATAGGATGTTGTTCCAGAACTGTGAAGGCTTTTTAGATGTCGTTTGGCAAACTCTAATCTGGCCTTCCTGTTTTTGAGGCTCACCAATGGTTTACATCTTGTGGTGAACCCTCTGTATTCACTCTGGTGAAGTCTTCTCTTGATTGTTGACTTTGACACACATACACCTACCTCCTGGAGAGTATTCTTGATCTGGCCAACTGTTGTGAAGGGTGTTTTCTTCACCAGGGAAAGAATTCTTCGGTCATCCAACACAGTTGTTTTCCATGGTCTTCCGGGTCTTTTGGTGTTGCTGAGCTCACCGGTGCGTTCCTTCTTTTTAAGAATGTTCCAAACAGTTGTTTTGGCCACGCCTAATGTTTTTGCTATCTCTCTGATGGGTTTGTTTTGTTTTTTCAGCCTAATGATGGCTTGCTTCACTGATAGTGACAGCTCTTTGAATCTCATCTTGAGAGTTGACAGCGACAGATTCCAAATGCAAATAGCACACTTGAAATGAACTCTGGACCTTTTATCTGCTCATTGTAATTGGGATAATGAGGGAATAACACACACCTGGCCATGGAACAGCTGAGAAGCCAATTGTCCCATTACTTTTGGTCCCTTAACAAGTGGGAGGCACATATGCAAACTGTTGTAATTCCTACACCGTTCACCTGATTTGGATGTAAATACCCTCAAATTAAAGCTGACAGTCTGCAGTTAAAGCACATCTTGTTTGTTTCATTTCAAATCCATTGTGGTGGTGTATAGAGCCAAAAATGTTAGAATTGTGTCGATGTCCCAATATTTATGGACCTGACTGTAAGTACTGAACACGTCACCATTTTTCTCGGTAAATATTTTTCTAAAGGTGCTACTGACCACATGTCGGTAAGAATCCATGCAATCCATACATACAAAGAAACAAAAACAAATACGTTCAGATATTAATTTATGTGTAACAAAATGGAATGACACAGGGAAAAGGTATTTAACACATGATGAAAGGGAGGTACAAAAAGGCATGGAAAGCCAAGACACAAGCTGAAATCTATCAGTAATTAGAAAGCAATCCTGCCCCTTGTCAGTGCAAATTAATATCAGCTGGTTCAGTCTCAACTGATGGTCTATAAAAAGGTGTCTCATTACCAAGGTGTCACACAAGAAACATCTCATGATGGGTAAAAGCAAAGAGCTCTCTCAAAACCTTTGCAACCTTATTGTTGCAAAACATACTGATGCCATTGGTTACAGAAGGACTTCTAAACTTCTGAATGTTCCAGTAAGCACTTTTGGGGCCATAATCCAGAAGTGAAAAGGACATCATTTCACCATAAACCGGCCACGATCAGGTGGTCTTCGCTACATTTCTGACAGAGAAGTGAAAAATATCAGAAGAGTTGTCCAAGAGCCAAGGAGAGCTCCAGAAAACCTGGAATTAGCAGGTACAATTGTTTTAAAAAATAAATAAAAGTAACGCACTCAACTGCCATGGCCAGTATATGCACACTCACCACACAAGACTCCATTGCTGAAGAAAAAGCATGTTGAAGCTTGTTTAAAGTTTGCTGCACAACATTTAGACAAGCCTGTGAAATACCGGGAGAATATAGTCTGGTCAGATGAGACCAAGATTGAACTCTTTGGATGCCATAATACACACCATGTTTGGAGGTCAAATGGCACTGCACCTCACCCCAAAAACACCCCAATACCAACAGTGATGTTTGGAGGTGGGAACATCATGATGGGGGGCTGTTTTTCAGCATACGGTACTGGCAAACTTCATGTCATTGAAGGAAGGATGAATGGAAAAATGGACCAAGACATTCTTGATCAAACATCTGCTACCATCTACCAGGATGAAGATGAAACGAGGGTGGGCATTTCAGAAAGATAATGATCCCAAACACAAAGCCAAGGAAACTCTCAATTAGATTCAAAAAAAAGAAATGGTCCAGCCAATCACCTGGTTTGAATCCAATAGAAAATCTATGGAAAGAACTAAAGATCAGAGTTCATAGAAGAGGCCCACTGAACCTTTAAGATTTGAAGACTGTGTGGAAGAATGGGCCAAAATCACACCTGAGCAATGCATGTGACTAGTTTTTCCATACAGGAGGTGCCTTGAAGCTGTCATTACCAGCAAAGTATTTTGTACAAAGTATTAAAGAAATTTCAGTTAGTGTGCTCAATCATTTTTTCCTGTGTCATTCCATTTTATTGAACATAACCTAATTTCTGAAACTGTGTTTTGGTTTCTTTGTATGTATGGGTCCCATAGGTTGTAATCGACATGTGGTGAAAATTTCATGGCAATGGTACCTTTAGTAATATATTTACAGAGAAAAAAGGTGACGTGTTCAATACTTATTTTACCTGCTGTATACCTAGTGACTGGCCTTAGGTGACACACAGAGATTATACAAATCATAGTACATAAGTTTTACCTGTTTTTTCTGCAGTCTTCTCTTCTCTACATCCATTCAAAGTACTAAATTTGTACAGCTTTCTGAGCATTCAGAAAAAAGGGGGCGGAGAGCTGAAGCTACACTCTGCAGAGCTCAGTGAGGAGAGCACTGAGAGCTGATAGGAGGGAATGGACACACCTCCTCCACACAGCTCACAGGAACAGAGCTGAGGTTGTCAATCTGCTGGAGGTCCCTCCTCTGTCACCATTTTTTTTTCATGGTGTCAGGAATACTTGTCAGAAGTGATTCATGCTGATAGCAGAGGAATGAGGCAGCAGACAGAAATGACACTTTGTGCTCTTAACTGAGACAAGTACACGCTATTCAGTGATAAGCTTTGTTCATATTTTTCATATTTCATGTCACACTTTATAGCCTATCCATTATCCTAAACCCATTGAATTAAGGCAGAACTTTACCCATAACAACTTGATAAAAAATAATGTTTTATTTTATCTAGGAACAAACATTACACATTAATAATTATGCTACCGAAATTAATGTGTGCTGTAAATTTCTTCCAGCGTTGATCCTGTTTCTTCTTGCTGGAGGCTTCCATTTTGCTGAAGCCCAGAGCCCTTAAGCAGCAGTAAATCTTAAAGAGGAACTAAACCCATTCATTTAACAGTTTCAAAAAACAGTTCTCTTCCTGGAATACCAGGATTGCTAACTGTCACATTTGCTTGTGCTTTCAACCAAACTATCAAACCATCAAATGTCCGGTGTCAACTGACCACATTTGCAGCATCATGGCAGTTGCAGATCAAACAGAAGCAGCTTCCTTGGCTGTAAAGGATAGGAGGGTTTAAGTCTGCATTAAGGCTGTCAGCAGATCGGCCTCTACACATTCAGCACTGCCTAAAAATAGAGAGCAACTGAGCATGTGCAGAGCAGGGTGAGATGGTGTATTACTGGATTGTAAACAGGATAAGCACTTATTTTTAATGTTTTATATAGATATACCTGCAAAAAGATCCAGCCTGAAGTGATTTAGCAGGATTTAATTTTGTGACTAAAGTTCCACTTTAACAGTTTCAAAAACAGTTACATTCCTGGCATGCTGGGATTGCTACCATTTGCTTGTACTCTCAATCAAACTGTCAATTGGCTGGTGTCAAAACTGATCACATGTGCAGCACCATGGCAGTTGCAGATCAAACAGAGGCCAAGATGGCAGCTTCCTTGTCTGAAAAGGAGAGGAGAGTTTAGTTCCACTTTAGAATGTCCATAGCCACAACTTGATTGAATATGGAAGAACTAATCTTATCAGGTTATTTCGTGCTGTCCATGCTGTGCTGGGGTGATTGTCCTTTCACTTCCCCGCCGCCGTATAGCACAAATACTGCTACAGGGCGGCAAAGCTGCGCAAAATCACGTGTATATATACGAGAATTTGGTGGCTACAGCTGTCAATCAACGGGTCCTAGCTGGAGATTCCCCTCCGGCACCCGGCGATTGCTGACTATCACTGATGTGGCAGAGGTCTTTATGTAAACAATACAGATCTCTCCCGTCAGCTCCAGCATGCTACTTTATATTGCTCTGCATAGCAGAGCAATACAAAACAGCATGCCTCTCCTAGCACACACCACACAGTTAACCCTTTGATCACCCCAGATGTTAACCCCTTCCTGCCCAGTGCCATTATTACAGTGTCAGTGCTTTTTATTAGCACTGATCACTGTATTAGTGTCACTAAGGATGTCAGTGACAGTTATTTCCCCGCCAGTGTCAGAATGCCCGCCGCAGTCCCGCTATAAGTCGCTGATTGCCACCATTACTGGTATTAAAAAAAAAAGAAATCCCAGTATATATACCGCCATTTTTAGATGCTATAACTCATGTAAACCAATTAATTTACACGTATTGGGATTTTTTGTTAGCAAAGACATGTAGCTGAATACATTTTGGCCTAAATTTATGACAAAATTTGATTTTTTAAAAGTTTTTTACTGGATATGTTTTATAGCAAAAAGTAAAAAATATTGGGTTTTTTTTTCAAAATTGTCGGGGTTATTTTGTTTATAGCGCAAAAAATTACAAATATAGAGGCGATCAAATACCACCGAAAGAAAGCTCTATTTGTGAGAAAAAAAGGACATACATTTCATTTGGGTGCAGCGCTGCATGACCGCACAATTGTCAGTTAAAGTAACGCAGTGCCGTATTGCAAAAAAATGGCCTGGTCAGGAAGGGGGGTAAATCCTCTGGAGGGCAAGTGGTTAAAGATGAAATTAAATCTCTCCAAAATGAAAGAATTCCCCTCCTAGACAATTGTCACCAGAACATTTGCTCCATTGACATTTCCTGTTGCGTCTTGCTCTCATGATGGTCAATGATCCCCAGGGCCAGTATGGAGAGGCTGAATCTCCCCAGTGGGCAAACAGGCCGCAATAAAAATGTTTGCCTTTACATATGTTTTAAAATTTTTTCTTGTTCTTTCAGGGGATTTGCTCAGATGGGCTGCGCTTGTCCATGTTACATGTGTGGTACACCCGTCCTGCCCATTCGCATACTTCCTCCAAGTCGGAACAAAGGCCCGCGAACCCGCAACCCTCACAGCTGCTTTGCTGAAGACTGTTACAGTCGCAGAGGTAAGCAGGATTTGCAATCCCTCAGGAACGTTAATGTTGACCTGTATTTTACATGTAGTAGGCAAATATTGAGTTCAATCATTAGCAAGGAGAGTAAGTGTCATCTTTCCAGCATATTCCCACTGCTTAGTCCACCAGTGGAGCCTAGTTACAAGTACCATTGACTGTAGGGTACCCTGAGAGATCCCCCCTAGTTCCTGCAGCCAAATGAGTTCATTTCTTATACCTGCAATGCATTGTGCTGAATAGTGCAGCACATTGGTTGTGCATGATGCTACCCATGAGACATGAGAGGAAAAAGAAGCTGTGGGTTTGGAATAATCTGAAGAGGTTGTTGACCATACAGAAGATCTATATTTGATGGAAAATAAATATTTTACTTTTTCTGGTTCCCCACAGAGCCTCATGTTCCAGGTATGCTATGTGTCCACCCTAGAAGCAGAGCTAAAAACAACCTACCCAAAGTGCTTTATGCCAGCTCACCACATGTGAGCTCAGGATCCACCGTGGCCACCTGCTTGAGCCAGGGCAGCTTGACCCAGTGTGATCTGGATGACCTTATCCTGGATGATATCAAAGAGACGGATGAAGAGGAGAGCGATGACGACAGTTAAAGACCAACAGTTGGTAACCTGGAGCCCATATGGACTGTTCATATCCACTAGGTCATTTCTTGAGTGAAAGGTTGGCCATTTAGCCATGTTTATGTGACATTGTTTGACCATTAAAGGGTCATTACAGTGAAAGCTGTTGATTTTGCATAGTTTAGTGGGTCAGAACACCCATCAACTTGTTAAATGTCCCTGAAATTTGATGAGGAGAACAATCCCCCAAGGTCCTTTCCATCTTTGGTCTGAAGGCTGGATTCTTTTCATATTGCCTGGAGAATCCAACAGTAGGCCAGCCAAACTATGGCTTGGCATTAAGCCAAGGGGTTTGTCAGTCGGAGGGAGTGAAGGAAACCACCACTAGGTCCAGAAGTCTTATGACCAATCAGAAGATGATCAAACCTATCATGGGTTTTTCAAAACTTTAGGTTAAATGGGCCCTTGAACCTTGAGTTTTACATTGTTTGTTGACGAAACCTCAGTTGAAGATCAGCAGACTTTGAGCCTTAAACATTTCCAAGAGAAATCAGTGCCTTATCTTTGTGTCTTCTATCAGTGTACACACTGTGTTGTACTTTTTACTGTTGTTCCTATCTAAATCATATCACTTCACCTGTCATTTGTCACATTATGCTCTGCCATTTTGATTTTGTAAGAGTGCTAATGGCTGACGTATCTGGTTACATCATCTAACATTTGGTATTCTCACACAACGTTGCTTCAGTCTTCACATTTTTTTGCAGTTCGAAATTCTTTGCTATGTCTGGAAACCTTTTTTTGTTACAGAAAATAAAAAGTTATGTTTTGGAACAGATTTGTGTGTACTGAGCTTTAATTCTGAATAAAGAATGTGCTTTTAGAACAAAATATTGATTATAGTAGACAGGTTGCTGCTTCCATGGGTGACACCATTGTTTCTGAACATTATACACTGCAGCAGTTCAAGATGTTACTCTAGGTGTCAATTTGATATTTCCCTCTTTCCCAGCTATCCGTTTTTTACTAACATACAGTATGTTCTTAACCCCTTGTCCTCCAGACGATTTACCCCCCTTTCTGACCAGGCCAATTTTTGTGATACGGCGCTGTTACTTTAACTGACAATTGCGCGGTCATGCAACACTGTACATAAATAAAATGTATCGGTATGTCCTTTTTTTTCCCACAATAGAGCTTTCCATTGGTGGTATTTGATCACCTCTGTGGTTTTTATTTTTTGCACTATAAACAAAACCAACAATTTTGAAAAAGAAAACAATATATTTGACTTTTTGCTATAAAAATCCAATAAACAAAATTTAAAAATCAAATTTTCTTCATAAGTTTAGGCCAAAATGTATTCAGCTACATGTCTAAAAAAAATCTCAATAAGTGTATATTAATTGGTGTACATGAAAGTTATAGCGTCTACAAATGGCGGTATGTATACTGGAAAAAAATTTTTTATACCAGTAATGGCTGCGATCAGCGACTTATAGCGGAACTGCGGCAGGCATTCTGACACGGGAAGGGGGACTGACTAATTATCGCTGACATCCCCAGTGACACTAATACAGTGATCAGTGCTAATAAAAAGCATCGACACTGTACTAATGACACTGGGCAGGGAGGGGTTAACATCTGTTTTACATTGTCTGCTGTTTTACTTGGAAGACATGCTGCTGTGCAGAGAGATACAAAGCAGCATGTCCATGCTGACAGCAGAGAGACCTGGGTTGTTTAGACACAGGTCTTTCCCCTATCAGCTTTGCCAACGATCACTGTCCAGAACCCAGTGATTGACATCCCCAGCCACCAATAGCGGCGCAGGTAGGGAGGCATGCGCCCCCTATCTGGAAATGCAAATCACACACATATATATATATATATATATTATGTGATTTTGCGCAGCCGTACCGCCCTGTAGCAGTACTTCTATAGGGCAGATGGCAAGTGGTTAGGGCTGAAGTACACCTTCCTTTGCCCCATTCCACCACCCAAGCAACATGAATTAAAAATTATTTTGTTTTCAAGAAATACCTCACTTGAAACCCAGGGGTGCCTACAATGACAGAGGTGCTTACAATGATCAGCTTGTATTTTTTAATGTTAAACCTTTATCCCAAAAGAAAAAAAAGCTGTTTGTTGTAACTGCTTATAAAGTATTAGCTGGATTTTGTTTTTCATTTTGTTGTTGTATTTATATCTGCTAGTACATCTGCCATTCCCCTCCCCCCAAGACTGGCAATGCTTCTTTCTAAAGGTGCCCCTATGCTCCTTCATCCAGAGTGGGGACACTCTAATATAGGAGGTGTGTTACTGGCCAGATTGACAGTTGAAAACAGCGGGGAAAAAAGCCTAAAAAAAAAAAAAAACAATGCAGAAACCACATCTAGTGATTAGTTTGCTGCAACACGTTACATTTTTGTATTTGAGTTTAATACCAGTTTAATATGTTTATTTTGCATGATGGGCAGCTCCATCTAGTGGCCATAATGCAGTATTTTCCTGAAATACCCCAATCAGGAAAAATACCACATTATGGCCACTAGATGGAGCTAACAATTGTAGGAAATAAACAAATTGTAAACATATTAGGCATATTTTGTGGGTTATTTGTGATGTGTGGCTTAGGATATTTGCACAACACATTTTTGTATAAATAGATGCCTAAAAGTGGAACTTAAATTGGGTGTATTAATGCTCCAGCATTGTTGGTGAACCGACCTTCCTGGTTGCATACTTAGGAATGGATACTCCATATATTGCTGTGAGATCCAGTGACATGTCAAAGCATGCTTGCTCCATTTATCTGTTGCTGCAGCCTACTGGTGGCTTTATAGGCGTATATGGAAACCCAATAGCTCAGGTAACACCAGAGCCCTCCTTATGAAAGCTGGGTGGGGTGAGCTCCTTGTTCACATCACAGATGGCCATCAAACTTTGCTTCATTCACCTAAACTAAAATATACACTCACCGGCCACTTTATTAGGTCCACCTTGCTAGTACCAGGTTGGACCCCCTTTTGCCTTCAGAGCTGCCTCAATGCTCCATGGCATAGATTCAACAAGGTGTTGGAAACATTCCTCAGAGATTTTGGTCCATAGTGACATGAGTTACTGTTGCCTTTCTATAATCTCCAACCAGTCTGCCCATTCTCTGACATCAACAAGGCATTTTTGTCCACACAACTGCCACTCACTGGATATTTTCTCTTTGTCGGACCATTCTCTAATCCCTAGAGATGGTTGTGCGTGAAAGTCCCAGCAGATCAGCAGTTTTTGAAATACTCAGACCAGCCCGTCTGTCACCAACAACCATGCCACATTCAAAGTCACTTAAATCCTCTTTCTTCCTCATTCTGATGCTCAGTTTGAACTTCAGCAAGTCGTCTTCACCACGTCTAGATTCCTAAGTGCATTAAGTTGCTGCCATGTGATTGGCTGATTAGCAGTTGGTAATACCAAGCAATTGAACAGGAGTGGCTGGTGAGTGTATGTGCGTTCGTTAACAGCATTTTGAGTTAAGTGTGAACAAGCCCTTACTTTAGTAATATCAGATTGCCTCTCGGGGGGTCAGGAAGGACTTATTCCCCTGGAGGAGCAAATTGGATCATGCTTTGCTGGGTTTTTTTGCCTTCCACTGGATCAGTTGTGGGTGTAGGATTATAACTTTTTTTTTTTTGGTTGAGCTGGATGGACTTTTGTCATTTTTCAGCCAGATTAACTATGTAACTTGTCACTGTAATCTTCTCTGTGCATTCTGATTTTCCCTCCTCCTCCAACCCCTCCACAGACATGGTGTGCAGAGTGGAGAAAGTTCTGTCCCTCTGCTAACCCTCCACACTGTCATCTTCAGAAGTGAAAGTAACATTTCGAATACATTTTGATTACCTTGCCATGAAGGTTTTTTCGTCATGTAAGAAAGCATATGGTGCCGCTTCAAGCCAGGAAACAAAAGGAAGTCATCCCACCAACAGGAAGTTATTCCAGAAACTTAGTGTGATAGGGGGATGAAAGCCGCTCAGACCAGTCCTGGGAGTCCAGTGCATATGAGATGGCCTCAGCCACCATTCAGGCCACACCCGTTGATGCATTTTGCACCCGAAACACATTAGTGGCATGCCCAAAGCAGCAACTAAGGCCATCTCACATGCACCAGACTCATGGGACTGGTCTGAGCGGCATCCATCCCCCTATCATACTAAATGTTTTGTCGTGTTATAAAGTGAAGGAAAAGTTCTATTTGTTTGAAACAAAAAATGCTTTCTGGACACATTCCAGGTGTCCTATCCCGTATTTTTAATAATTTTATTTTTTAGGTAAATTTATCTGCTATCCTTACCTTTCAGTTGATATCTGTATAAAGTTAAAAAAAAATTGTATATAGGATGGACCTCCCAAGCTACCTGCCTATACAACAATGAAAAGGGGAAGCTGGAGGAATGAGACCAGAAGACAAGGTGTGTTAATCAGAGGATCACCAGGTAAACATTTTCACCGGAAAAAAGGAAAACGAATGCAGTTACCAACGCGAAGGACTGGTAAGCTGCAAATATAATTATTTTTAAGTTTTTGGGTTTCAATAGGCCTTAAAATAAAGGATAGAACACGTAAAGTGACCTCATCAAAAATGACTGGCACTTAAAGTGTTACAAAACCCCCAACAGTAAAATCTGTCTGCAGTAAAGCGTGCTTGTTATACTCACTGTGGAACCTAAGGGGTTAATCCTCTGCATTGTGAAAAAAGGATGTTTGATCCTGTTTTCTCTGATCCTCCCCTTCTACTGTCCTCAATCCATCTGCTGATAGAACAGAGCCTTGGGGGCAAGCTCCACATGATCAATTTGGTGTGTATTGCTAGAGAGGTTTATTATTTTTCTTGGGAGAGTGCATGTGATCAGCACAGGGCCAGCATTGTCCAAACAGAGGGTTAGGGGTCCTGCAGCCTCATAGGAGAGAATGAAAACTCCTCCTACAAGCCTTAACCAGTGCTCTGCTGGACACTGATAAAGTCACAAGACTGCTATATACTGCTGATGAAAAAAGGTATTTAGCAGTTTATATTTACTAAAATAATTGCATTTCCATGTTCTGTGTACTGTGGGAGACCAGATATAGTGAATGCAGGGTCCAGGGAGACCAGATATAGCGAATGCAGGGTCCTGGGAGACCAGATATAGTGAATGCAGGGTCCGGGGAGACCAGATCTAGTGAATGCAGGGTCTGGGGAGACCAGATATAGGGAATGCAGGGTCCTGGGAGACCAGATATAGTGAATGCAGGGTCCGGGGAAACCAGATCTAGTGAATGCAGGGTCCGGGGAGACCAGATATAGGGAATGCAGGGTCCGGGGAGACCAGATATAGGGAATGCAGGGTCCTGGGTTTAGTAACACTTTAAGTTTCCAGTAGAGGCCTGCTATATGACTGGTTGGCCTTCCCTGCAGGCACCTTCCCCACTCATCTGGGCTCCTCATTAACCTGTTGCTCTGGGGAATGTCAAAGGACATTATTATAGTGAATTTAAATTCAGAGATATTTGTTCACGCTTAAGTATATCTGAACTTATTGTAATGTATTCATGCAGACTTGAAAAGTTATTAAATTGTCCCACTTTATTTTTTGTAAAAGTCAGTATTTACATATTGGAGGTCTTGGAGGGCAGTTTAACCAAACACAAGGTATGTACCAGCATAATAACTGCACCAAAATGCTGCATTAAATAGGCTGGGCTGATATCAACTGTATTTGCTTTAAAACAGGAGTCTCCAAACTTTCCAAACAAAGAGGCAGTTTACTGTCCTTCAGACTTTTGGAGGGCCCAATTGTGGCCAATAGAGGTAGAAAATGCCCCAGGCCTGGCATCAGTGAGGGCAAACAATTCCTCAGGTAGGGTGTTTAGTTGCATAGGGCCTGTGGTCAGTAGGAAAAGGAATAGTGCCCCATCATTGGTATTACCAGGAGGAATAGTGCCCCATTGGTGTCAGTGGGAGGAATAGTTTCCTATCATTGTTGTCATTGGCAAGAATATTGCACCATCATTGGTGTCAGTGGATGGAATAGTGCGCCATCATTGATATTAGTTGGAGGAATAGTGCCCTATTGTTGGTATTCAGTTGCATAGTGCCCGTGGTGAGTAGGAAAAGGAATAGTGCCCCGTCATTGGTATTCCAGGAGGAATAGTGCTCCATCATTGGTGTCAGTGGGAGGAATAGTGTCCTATCATTGCTAGCAGAGGGAGGAATAGTGTCTTATCATTGGTGTCAGTCAGAGAATAGTGCTTGATCATTGGTGTCAGTGGAAGGAATAGTGCCCCATCATTGCGAGGAATATTGTCTTATCATTGGTGTAATTTGGATAATAGTGCTTGATCATTGGTATCAGTGGAAGGAATAGTGCCCCATTATTGGTATCAGTGGAAGGAATAGCACCCCATCATTGGTATTAGTTGGAGGAATAGCGCCCCATCATTGGTATTAGTTGGAGGAATAGTGCCCTATCGTTTGTGTCAGCTGGGGGAATTATGCCCCACTGTTGGTGTCAGTTGGAGGAATAGTGCCTCAAATCTGTAAGAGAAATAGTGCCCCAAGGGCCAGATAAAGTCTAGCCAAGGGCCACATCTGGCCCTCAGGCCGTAGTTTGGAGATCACTGCTTTAAAGGATGATAACCCTGAAGCTTGCACATTTAAAACCAATTACAGGACCCATTAAGCCATCCTGCACACATTCCCTTTAAGACAACATGATCAATATACTTAAATACATTCATTACAAGTAAAATGAATTAACAAACTCTAACAGAACACTTGTTAAGCTCCTCATGGGTGTAGAGCAGATTTTAACCTTGATGCAGGTAGAGTTCTTCACAGTAGGAATTGCTGGATTAAATCAAAAAACACAAAAATCAATCTAATCTAAAGTTATATAGAATGTCTAAATAAAACTGTGTTCACCCAGGGAATAGACCAGAGTCAGGAAGTGGACTTGAGTACCTTACAATAAGATTGGACAGTTGTCTTCTGTTGACCAATAAGGATTATGAAAGGATCTTGATGAAAAAATATATTCTACTTTATAGAAGACAATGTAAGCAGAAAAGATGTCTATTTGTTAGGCCTTATCAGCATAGAGACCTTCTTTAGCGAGTAGGCACCACCACGAAATTCAGCCCAGTAGACGCCATCTTGGTAGCGACTACGGTAATGACCTCCACGATACCAGACACCATTGAGGTTAGAGTGTGCACACATGTTATACCACCAGCCTCCTTTCTGGAAATGGGCACAATTACCTGAGGAAACAGAAAAAGCAAAGGATGCAGAAGGGTATACACTCTTACGAGCAAAACATTGAGCTTGCAGTACCGGTTGTTAAAACCTTTGTTTTGAGAAATATGTAGCAAAACTGGTTTGTAACTACATTTTTCCATCCATATATGTGTTTTGCGTTTATACAGTAAATCATATAACTCCAGTGTTGGATTTTATGGTAAGATTTATAGCAAGGGTAGACTACCCTGGCAAGGTGGAGATCCATCTGAACAACATGGCAGAGATCAAAGATCAACAAGGTGCAGTGCACTTTTTTTTTAAGAGATAACCTAGTAAGGTCCCATTAAAAAGTAAGGAAGGTTTGAAGAAAATATATTACAAAAAATCACTGTAGAAAATACAAACCTATTCTATCTTTGTCATGGTTACCGGGACTCATTGCGATTGGTCTCCTTCCTGCTGAGGTTCTTTCAATGGTCACTGTCGGCTTCTTTGTGTTCCACTGAGGTCATTTCTGGTGCACCATGGCGTTACTTCCGGTGTGCGATCTTCGGTACATCGAGGGGGTCCTTCCTGGTTCCTCTCATCCCTCTAGTAGCATTTCATCAGACCGATGGCCTATGGACTCCCTGTTTACCACCAACTGTGGTTTATTACTCTTCCATCCTGAGTCCACTATCCAGGCTCCCCATAGCCATGTCTACACAACAGTAAGTGGCTCCCACTATTCCTTTCAGCTTACGTTTTGCATCAATCCTTGTCTTGCATTATATATTTTCATGGATACAATTTATATGGTGATTATGGTTTTATTGCTTCATTAAACGTTTTATAGACATTGACTGCTGGTCATGAATGCTATCGCATTTATTCTTGGCTCACACCATGAGCGCTCTTATTTTCTATGCTCCCAGCAGTTTGTAATGCAGAGGTTAGCAGCAAGTAACCCAGAATTCAGAGATCAGTAGTAATTAATGAAGGGTTTAGAGTTCAGTATGTAATGAAGGTGTCCATAGTAATTCATACATAATGCAGGGGTCAGTAGTAAGTAATGCAGAGTTCATAGGTCAGTAGCTAGTGCAGATTGCAGGTATCAATAGAAAGTCATGCATAGTGCAAGAGTCAGTAGTAAGTCACACAGAGTTCAGAGGTCAGTGGGTAGAGCAGAGTGCAGGTGTCAGTAGTAAGTCATGCGTAGTGCAGGGGTCAGTAGTAAGTCACTCAGAGTGCAGGGGCTAGCAGTATGTATCACAGAGTGCAGAGGTCAGTAGTAAAGAACACAGAGGGAAAGGGTTACAAAAAGTAACACAGAGGTCAATAGTAAGTAATGCATAGTGCAGGGCTCAGTACCACAGCATTACTTTCCCCTTCCCTCTGTAAAAAATTGCTCACCAGAATTCAGATGCAGCAGCTAGTGAAGTCCTCCCAGGTCTCCCCTCAGCTGTGTTATATGATGATATGTCAAAGCTCAGGAGGAGCCTAGAACCTCTCTCAGTTCTGCTTTCACATTGCTGCTCTGACCTGAGGTCTGAGGGACAGTTGTCAGGGTCAGGACCTGGTAGCACAGCATCACTATTTATCGGTCACATAGCAGCGAATGATGGGTAGATCAAGTTTGGCTGGTTGCTGACCCCCTTTTCTTAAGTTCAACCCATAGCTGATAACTCTGGGTAAGTATAGGTGGACTGCATCTCCCATCAGATTATACAATACATCTACTGTATCAGAGACTCTAGCTCTAGACTCTAGCTCTAGTTCAGTGTACACTTTCATAATTCATATCTAATCAATTCTCAGACTTGTCTGCATAATAATCTACCCGCTGGTGGAGTGTCACTTGTGCAGATGAAAAGTTATAGGCCAAATATGAGTTATGGGAGATTTTTGCTCCAGTTGAGGCATCCACCCATCTCTCCACGCCCTAAGCGGAGATTGGTCCTTGATTGCAGAGCCACCCCCCTGCTGGGGACTACAAAACAGGCTGTCAGGCCTAAGAGTAGGAAGTTGAAGAATTCTCCCATTGACCATCGTAACATAGGGAGATCAAAGCACCATTCTGCTCTGAAACTTGGATCTGCTAACCCAGGACTTTGGCAAGTACTTAAACCCTTTCACCTCTCTCTGATATCTCTTTGCTGTGATATGGTTCTTTGTATATGTATATCTATATCTAAGGTACATCTTTTTCTGTAAATATTGTTATTGCACCCATTTGACCTTTTAGTAATAAATCTTTCCTTCTGAAAGTGTTGAACTGTTTCTATAGCGCTTTATTTCAATTTACGAATTCCTGCCTCTAAAGAGAATGCTACTGTGTTTGTTTAAACCTCTGTATAACCGGCCTGCGGACCATTTTACACAGACGATTATCTCAATCATTATAGTGTTATAGCTGATAACGCCAAGTTTCCTCTTTCTCTGTACAAAAAGGAGGAGGTGGTGGCGGTGTGAAGGGTTAATTGCGTAATTAACCTGACCCAGTAACAATCGCCCAGGCTGCCGGTACATCAATTGTGGCCCATTAGCTGGAAAATCGTTGTGCAGGGTGCAGCTGGGTGTGGCATTGTTACGCATGTCACATCGCAGTTCTAGATCGGCTAGTCCTTCGGTCACGAGTTTGGGTGAGAAGGTCTGGGGTCTGATGCAGCAATCGTGACATATTGGTGGCAGCGATCGTGGGATCGTGACAGTACCCAAAACAGATGTCCCATTAGAAGATATCAATAAACAATAAAGCTTTTAATTTCCCAACTATATCTCTCTTAATTAAGACAGACATCAATCAAATCCTTCCTTAAGAAAACAAAAAAGAGTTTTTGGTTTAGATATTTAGATTTTCACTGCAGGTAAAATCTACTCCTGCACGCAAGTTTGGTGCCTTCCAAAAAACGATTGTAAGCCCAACTGCCTGTAAACGACGATGTGTACATGGACACATAGGAAAATATTAGGGAGAGTTCAAGGGCTGCTGAAAAAAACGTGAGTTTATCAGCTGCAGTGTACATGGAGCCTAAAACTGCATCTTCAGGGAGGTCAACCTAAATACTTTGAGTCAACCTTTCTCAACCAGGGTGCCTTGAGGTTTCTTCAGAAGAGGAGAAGGATAGTGCTACCTGTTTTATCTAGTAGTAGTTAGTAATATTCAGCCGGACTTGTCCAAGCCTTCAGTTCTAATGAGTGTCAGGCAGCATTAATATCCTCATATGGTTGCACCAACACATTGATCTTAAAATTTTGGAAAGGCAGATGTTATTGTCCAAAACCAGGTGTGAAAATTGTGGACCCCCCTCATTCTATATACATCCCATGTTTGGTGTCAAGAAGACTTCACAAATGTTAATCCTTCAATTTACCTAGCTGAAAGTGCGGATTGCTGTCAAAAGGCCAGGGTAGAGATGGTAAAATGGGTTGTGGAAGACACATGGGAAATGTTTCACTAAAACTGCATGGTGCAAATAATCTGGTGCAGCTGTGCATAGAAACCAATCAGCTTTCAGGTTGTATTGTCAAAGTGTAATTGAATAAACTGAAGTTAGAAGGTGATTGGCTACCATGTACAGCTGAACCAGATTCTGAGTTCTCCAACCTTAGTAACCCTCCCCCATGGTGTTGAAGGCCCCACCCTGTTCAGTGATGGTTGTTCCAGTTGGTATGTTTTCCTGAAACTTATTAGAATGCAAAAAGCCGTTTGGACAAGCTACAAAACGTCTTTAACATTATAGAACAAGCCCAGCTGAATGTGCTTAACTACTGCTGGATATACAGTGGATATAAAAAGTCTACACATCCCTGTTAAAATGTCAGGTTTCTGTGATGTAAAAAATGAGACAAAGATAAATCATTTCAGAACTTTTTCCACCTTTAATGTGACCTATAATCTGTACAACTCAATTGAAAAACAAAATGAAATCTTTTAAGGGGGGAAGTAAAAGTAAAAAACCAAAATAATGGGGTTGCATAAGTGTGCACACCTTCTTATAACTGGGGTTGTAGCTGTGTTCAGCTTTAAGCATCACATTCAAAATCATGTTAAATAGGAGTCACTACACACCTGTCATCATTTAAAGTGCCTCTGATTAGCCTCAAATAACATTCAGCTGTTCTAGTAGGTCTTTCCTGACAGTCTCCTACTGTAAAAGCCATGGCAAGCAGACAGCTTCCAAAGCATCAGAGGGATCTCATTGTTAAAAGTTATCAGTCAGGAGAAGGGTACAAAAGAATTCCCAAGGCATTAGATATACCATGGAACACAGTGACAGTTATCATCAAGTGGAGAAAATATGGTGCTGCAACAGTGACATTACCAAGAACTGGACGTCCCTCCAAAATTGATGAAAAAGACGAGAAGAAAACTGGTCTGGGAGGTTGCCAAGAGGCCTACAGCAACATTAAAGGAGCTTCAGGAATATCTGGCAAGTTCTGGCTGTGTGGTCCATGTGACTACAATCTCCCGTATTCTTCATATGTCTGGGCTATGGGGTATAGTGGCAAGACGGAAGCCTTTTCTTAAAAGAAAAATATCCAAGCCCGGCTAAATTTTTCAAAAACACATCTAAAGTCTCCCAAAAGCATGTGGGAAAATGTGTTATGGTCTGAAGAAACCAAGGTTGAACTTTTTGCCGTCATTCAAAAAGATATAATTGGTGCAAAAGCAACACTGCACATCACCAAAAGAACACCATACCCACAGTGAAGCATGATGGTGGTAGCATTATGCTTTGGGGCTGTTTTTCTTCAGCTGGAACTTGGGCCTTAGTCAAGGTAGAGGGAATTATGAACAGTTCCAAATACCAGTCAATATTGGCACAAAACCGTCAGGCTTCTGCTAGAAAGCTGAACATGATGAGGAATTTCATCTTTCAGCATGACAACGACCCAAAGAATACATCCAAATGAACAAAGGAATGGCTTCACCAGAAGATTAAAGATTTGGAATGGCCCAGCCAGAGCACAGACCCAAATCCGATTGAAAACCTGTGGGGTGATCTGAAGAGTGCTGAGCACAGGAGATGCCCTCGCAATCTGACAGATTTGGAGTGTTTTTGCAAGGAAGAGTGGGCAAATATTGCCAAGTCAAGATGTGCCATGCTGATAGACTCATACCCAAAAAGACTGAGTGCTGGAATCACATCAAAGGTGCTTCAACGAAGTATTAGTTTAAGGGCGTGCACACTTATGCAACCATATTATTTTCATTTTTTATTTTTACTCCCCCCCCCTAAAAGATTTCAGTTTGTTTTTCAATTGAGTTGTACAGTTTGTAGGTTACATTAAAGGTGGAAAAAGTTATGAAATTATTTATCTTTGTTTCATTTTTTTACATCACAGAAACCTGACATTTTAACAGGGGTGTGTAGACTTTTTATATCCACTGTACCATGACCTGGATAAATAATAGCCCTCACAGATATGCTACCTTTTTTTATTTCAGCACTGGTGTATATTGCCATTTTGATATGTTAAAGTGGAACTTCACTCTCTCAATCAACATGGACTATTTTGAATCCTTATGCTGCTATCATTAGTAAATAGATAGGAACGTTTATCATATTTTTTTTACATTTCTTCAGTTACTTCCTGGTTTCCATGCCTAGGCAAATTATGTCATACACCCCAGCATTCTTCATTAGGGGAAGGAGGGTTCTCAGCTCAGCCAATGCCTAAGCTAAGGGAAGATGGACTCCAGGAAGAAAATGCTACATGGATCATCTGCCCTTACTCAAGATGGCCACCGCCAGAAATGCCAAGAATGTTTTTCAAAATGATTTCTCAGCAAAATAAAGCATGGAGACATGAATGGATGGAGGAGTTTGCTCTGAACATTAACAATGAATTAAATAGTATTTTTGGTTTGTGGTGCTCAGGTGTAGTGCAATTTAAGTTGTGAAATTAATTTTTCATTTTGTTGGTACGCTAGTTGCTGAAGTAAGACTAAGTTTAGATGTTGCAGCAAAGACAATAATCCTTCAGTAATTTCAGGTTAGTAGACCTTACTCTTGGAATGCCCTGGAGATAAAGGAAGCCATCATTCACCTATCTTTTGGTAGACCGTGTTTACATTACAATAATAAAACTGCAGTAGAAGCTAGTGTCTTTGCAATTCAACTTACCCAGGTAGGAGTCCCTGTCCTTGTCTAGGGTACTGAACTGTTTGTCATTGTGCCAAGAGAGGGAATCCCCAGCTGTCCCTTTATACTGGCCCAGCCTCAGTCTGTAGAAATCACTCTCGGGTTCCAGCCTGAAGTGGTCATATTCGGCACTCACTTGCCGTCCTTGCCAATCCTCCATGAGGATCAGGAGTTTGTAACTGTCTTGGTTGGCCAACCAGAAAATGTTCTCAAGGCCCAACCAGTATTCACTGTCCAAATTACCAAATCCATGCTGTGGAAAAAAAGGGCAAAATTAGTAGTTTAAGAGCACAATAATTGTACACACACGTTATATTAAAGTGTATGCATGGATGAAACTTTTATAGATTAGAACAAGGTAAATCCCCTTATTTTGCTGTCATTCACTGCTATTATTGGAAAGATTTCTCTTCACTTCCTGTCTTGAGGACACATTGAGGGAAATGGAAATGAGGGGGCTTAGCCCCTTGGTTGTCACCAAAACAGTTGACCCCAGTGGAAGATTTCTCCTCAACTCTTGTACTTGTGTCATTTGTAAAATTCTCGATTTCCAATCACTTTCTTGGTGACAGTGGTCACAGGACAACCGGAGAAGATAAATCTACCCTCTGGGGACAGCACTAAAAGACTGGGTTTAATATCTGCCAGTAACTTTCCAAAACTAAGGAAACATTGGCTATGCATACACTTTAAGATTTAGAATGTTGTAGAATTTTAGAATGTTTAGTTGTATCTTCTGTAAAGAAATTATAATACAATATTATGTCTTACAACAGCGCCCCATGCTTAATGCATTGGCTGCTACTGTAACAGTGTGAATGGCACATGCATTAAGGTAGGTAGTCACCTACCTTAATGCATGTGCCATTCACACTGTTACAGTAGCAGCCAATGCATTTGGCACAGCAGTCTAAACATGGTTGCACAGAAGATATTTAAACATTTTTGCACAATTACAGTTTATTTTCTGTATTAAAAGTGAAAATGAAGGCTGGGCCCACCTTGTAGTTTTGCCAGGTGGTAAAAAAATTGATTGATCCATCTTGTCTTCTTTGTATGACTGTCCATCCCCCTCCATTGAGTGACTGCTCACACCAGGATTGCATGATCTGGTTGCTGTTACGTGGTTTTAGGAGGTAGATGCCGCTTGACGTCTGTCCACCCAGCAAGGCATCGTAACAATCCACCCATGGTCCTGGCCATAGACATGACAATATTTAGCAGCAATAGCTATGATCTGTTTCCATCCTGATACTTTTTTATTGATAGGTCAGGTTCTCGGGACACTAGTGGATTTATAATTTGTCAACCTTTTATAAAGTTAGGGGTTAAGCTATCCTAGAATGGACCACATTCCAAACTGGGTGAACATACAGATCAGAATTCTTCCTTAGCCAATGAAAAGAATGCAGCATGGGGTTACTGAGCCCAAAGAGTCAGCAGGTGAGGGAAGGACACTGGAATGTTATGTGGATTAGCATATTGTAGGGCTTATCCAGGGGCGAACTGACAACTCATGGGGCCCCCGGGCAATAGGGGATCATACCCAAAAAGCCTATGAAAAAGCCAATGAAAGGTACCAGGGGCATCTCATGGGGCCCCCTACTGAACTCGGGCCCTCGGGCACTGCCCGAGTGCTTGAATGGTCAGTTCGCCCCTGGGCTTATCATTTTGAATGACACCCCAATTCACTATAGAAATGCACCACCAAAGCACATACATTGCAGCACATCACAACGCCCAATAATGTGCTACGTTGCATTGCAAGGCGCTGTATGTTAAAAAAAATTCTGCATGACATTTTTTTTCGTCCTTTCCTGTTCTTTGGCAGCCCATTTAAAATGAATGCAATGCACATTAATATGTGACACCACGCACATTGTGTATGTATTAATGCAATGCACTAGAGTGCCAAAGTGTTAATGGGCCATAAACGCTGGTTCACTGACAACTGTGTGAGAGTTCAGGTGCTGAAGAAGAGACCCCCAACTTATAAATAATTCATCTATAGCTCACTCTACATTAATGTGATGGTCAGTGAGTAAAGAGCCCCTTATAGGTAACTAAAAAGATCTATGGTGTCAGTGGTTACTTATCTTAGAGGCAGAAATTGCTTATTCTTTAAGCTACCCATAGCAACCTCTGAAGGAACCCTAAGGTTCCACAGAACCATGGTTGAAAAAGATGGCCCTACAATCCAAAACAAAGAAAAATGTCTTTAGATATACATTATAGAACATCTATACTTTCATCAAAGCTACACTAGGCCTCTAGCCCTTCTGAGCTATTCTGTGCTATAAACCCCATTCCACATGCCGACTTACCTGTAAAAGACAGCATGCTCCTATCTTTAAGCCTCTATATGCAATTTTGGCCTGTGCAAAACTGGAGATGACAGCCTTGTACAACACTGGACAAAATTGCCCCCAGAGTATAGAAACAAAGGCTCAGCTCAGATTAGGTATCAACTGTCTTCTTGTAGTAAGAAAACAAAGGTGGAGGATTTTTCTCCAGATTTCCTCTACCTTGTACATGAGCTTTAAATCAAGTTCAATGGCTTGGGATTTATGAAAGCTACTGTATTTAATCTAAGTGAAATTCCTAAAACATGTCCTGTTGGGGGTACTTGAGGTTTGAGGTTGGGAAACGCTGCTTTATAGTATAGAATATCTCAGGAGGGCAATGAAGGAGGTTAGTGTCCACTTGTCCTTTAAAGTGGACCTGAAATCTAAAAGTGAAAGATATGAAACATTTAGAAATTTTATATGCAAGAAATACTGGAGTGTCAGAGGATCAAAGTCAGCACATCCCATTAAAGATACATATTTGCTGCAAAGAAAGGGGACTGTTAAGGTGCCAAGACACAAAACTCACAACGGTAGTGTATGATAAAAATTTACAGTCATTTTATTACAAAACGCTAAAACAACATTATCACAGTATTAAAGTGTTACTAATCCCAGGACCTGGCATTCACTATATCTGGTCTCCCACAGTACACAGAACATGGAAATGCAATTATTTTAGTAAATATAAACTGCTAAATACCTTTTCTCATCAGCAGTATATAGCAGTCTTGTGACTTCTATCAATTTCCAGCCGAGCACAGGTTAAAGCTTGTAGGAGGAGTTTTCCTCTAGGAGAATGTAGAACCCCTGATCCTCTGTCTGCACAGTGAAGATTGGCCCTGTGCTGATCACAAGCGCTCTCCCAAGTAAAAAAAAAAAAAACCTCTCTAGCAATACACACCAAACTGAGTGTGTGCAGAGTGACTCCATACTTATGTTCTATCAGGAGATAAGTGGAGGACACTGGAAGAAGGGGAGGATCAGAGAAGACAGGATCAAACAGCCTTTTTACACAATGCAAAGAATTAACCCCTTAGGCACCTCAGTGAGTATAACAAGCATGCAGACTGATTTTACTGTTGTGGGTTTAGTAACACTTTAAGCATAAAACCACCACAACCTTTGAATGCAGCTTGAAAGTCTGTGCAAAATGGTTCAGCTCTACATGTTCCATCACAGTTTTGGCTTCCTCAGGAGACTTATGAATACTGCATAAGTAAGAGTTGTGAATACACTCCCTCAAGAATTGGTTCTGGCCAGCTCAGTGGATTGCTTTTAAAAAGTCCTGGATTGTTTCTTAGATACACAGAATATAACTGGATATAACATTTATAGGTAAAGTTGATCCAGGGAATATCCGATTGTCTCTCGGGGGATCAGGAAGAAATTTTTTTCCCTGCAGGATCAAATTAGATCATGTTTTGCTGTTTTTTTGCCTTCCTCTGGATCAACTGTGGGTGTAGGGTTATAACTTTTTTTTTTTTTTTTAAATGGTTGAACTGGATGGATTTTTGTCTTGTTTCAGCCAGACTAACTATGTAGCTATGTAACTATATATGCAAGAAATACCACAAGGGCACACAAATGTGTTAAATGGTGAAAGAATCAAGTTGATGTCAAGATAACCAAGAAAGTAAAGTTCTGCACCGAATGGTCCCACCCAGATGTGTGCTGCCATAGGAGGGGAACCCCCCTATATATATGTGATATGACCAGGATATGGATCCCTGCTCACTGAATGTAAGGTAAAAAACCAATTCTGCTCCAAAGTACAAATTTAATAGATCATCTCCAGAGTCAGTAGCCGCGAGTAGCAACTACTGAGTGAACCAGAAGATGGATGACATATTCAGTGAAGGTAGGAAATCAGCAACAAAGAAATGTAAATAAGGTTTTGCCTGGAGTTCTGCTTTAAAAAATCAACTTTGTTCTTCAAAAATAGCAGTGCACTTACTGACATAGCTACAGTATATATCTGCAGTGTGAGATCTAAGGCTCTTTGCCTCGGACTGCTAATATCATGTGATTTGGTGTGACAGTTGAGGATGTTGCTAATGTGCTAATCACTGTTCTTCTTAGTGGAGAGGAAGTAGTACCTGTGAACCTGCAGTCAAGCATCTCTGTGCTCCTGCTTCATTCAGTTTGTGGATATGTGCTTTCTAGATCTCCCCTGCTTTTGCATGATTATCCTTTCATCAATCATTGCATCACCAGTTATCAGTGGGGCAACTTAGACATAAGGAAGCAAAGCACTCTCCTTTACGAAGATGGCCATTTCCACACGGAGACACATTGTGAAACAAAGCATGGTAAGTCAGTAATGAGGAAACGTTTAGCTATAGACAATACTAGCGACTAGGCCTTTGCCCTCTGTTTGCTTTTCTTGGGCACAGCTTCCATAGTTGAGCTCCTGTCTAAAACACCTTTTTTTGTTTCTAGGGGACTGTGCTGGAGATCTCGGTTCTTTATTTTCCAGGTCCACGCACCTGATGTGTTCTTTATGAGGTAGTTTGTTTTTTTCAATTAGAGGTCTGCTTTATTTCACAATATGGAGAAGGTAACACCTCAGGGTGAGTGGGAACACCTCAAACCTCAAGTTGCTGATGGAGTCTTGGTCTACCAAGTTAAATTTCCCTTTTTAAATGGGCCGATCCTTTCATTTTTTATTTCCAAATAAGACTACATTGTGCCATTTTCACAATTACTTACCATCCAGTCATTAATCTGCTCACTTTGCATCTCAGTCTACCCATTCTGTTATATCTTGTAATAAAAAATAATGTCTTGATATACATTTTTTTAATTTGCTATCTTTGTATTCCCGTTTGAAGTACCTGTTGATTTGGTGGCCTCTGGTTCTGTGACAACAGGGGCACTGGAGGTTGTTCTGGGGACTGGATCTGATTGTGTCTGAGGATCTTCTTTCCTGACAGCTATGTGATCCCTTTCCTCTTCATGGATTTGACGGTTCTGTTTCTTCTTTATATCAGTAGGATCAGCATCAGATTGTGTAGCCTGCAAACATATATAGCACATATTTAGCTGAAGCCCAGACTCGTCAGACTGCCAAAGAAAGTAAGGGAAATCTTCACTTAGGAAACACGAGAACTGCTATGACTAACACTTCCTTCTGTAAATACTATTTGCCTTGAAGCCCTGCTAATTCATTGCCTTCACTCATTTGAAACAAGTATGTAAATCATTTCTGACATTGACTTTGGTTTCTGCATACTTGTTTCAGGTTAGTGAGTGCAGTTTTTTCGTGATTGTATGACTATACGGTGAATGCAAACCAAGGTCCACTGGAAAGATAAAAACTCACCTCACCCCTTACCTGTCCTGCTGAACACTGATGTAAAGAAGGCAGAATCAGACATTCCAGGAGTGTTGATTTTCTGGTCTGCTGCAGTGCTCTTTGGTTTCTTCCATTTACCCCTATGTCTCTACAGGACACAGTTGCCACATAGTATCAAACCACTGAGTGTTGAAGGAGACAAAGAAATCCCCACTCCAGAAAGTGTTGGATAATTGTAGGGTTGGTTGAGTTGTCTGACTACGCCATGTTGTGGGAGGAACCTACCACACCATTAGGGTTACCTTGCCTAGGCGGGAACTGCGGTCATGTGCACCATCTAATATTAAGGCAGTCTCCCGACTGACCTGGCACCACTGCATATGCAGATGTCCCATACCTCTATACTTAGTGGCTTATACTTGTTGCATTTGGGGTGGTGGGTCGAGCCATGCCACCTCCACCAGTCAACGTACCTCTGTCACCTTGCTCCCAGTAACAGAATGAGATCCTGCAGGATCCCATTCTGCATAAACTCTTTTCCTCCCATACAATACAGTCAGGCTGAGAACCTCCATAACACTGGTCTGCTCCTGGTTGCCATGGTAGACAAACCGCTAGGTAGGGAGACAGATGTCGACCCCCTCGCTACTGGAGTGTACCCCACGTTACCCAGGTACCACCCCTCAGTTGATTGCTTTGTGTATTCAGAGTGAACTTGGTTCCCCGTAGTTATGGCCTTGTTCCTCCTTAGTAGCTTCACTTGACACCATATTGTAGCGTACTTCCTTCTAGGGCTGCACCCCTTTGATTAACTTCAGACCGGGTTGAGGAAAAGTTAACTGTCTTTACTGTTCATCTGTACTGCAAAACAAATGACAAACGGTTCTTTTAATAGCCCTAACTAATAGAAGGCCCAGGCATACCTTATAGGTGACAGGTGGCATAGTACATAGATGGTGGCATAGACCATACTTGGCGGTATCCTGGTACCGCCAGGGGTAGAATAACACACACAGTTCCTCCTTGGCTTTCTTGAGATGTGTCAGGAACAACCGCACAGCAGCACACCAGATGCAGCGGAGTTTCAGCAACCTCAGCCTTCCCTCAATTTATATCACAGGTGGGTCATCTGAAGCCCAAAAAGCCTGCACTCCGGGAGCAGAGAACGTAAACCCTTCCCAACCCAGCCTGGGCCAGTACCTAACGTATTAAGCTGCTTACTTATTGATTTGTTTTCAGCAATCACTCACTCTTCATTACAGCAGTGTTTGGTAGCATGGGCAGCAAGGAGAGTTTTTATTATCTTTCCAGGGAACCCTTTTTATCATTTATAGTTTAGTGACTGAGCCACTTTACATTATGGTGACTGTTATACATTCCTCTGGCTGAACTTTTCTTTTTTTGAGCAGAGATAAGCAATCTACTGATCAAAACTTACCTAAATGTCACACTTGCACTTTAGTTGGGTCAATTACAAGCCATAGGCAAGCAACAAATACAAAAATAAACTGATGGAAAACTGTTCACTTAATAATCACCAAATCCTGGAACTCTTTGAAATTGTGAAAGAAGAGATTTCATTAGTTTGCTGAAGAAAGGGTTCTTTACTGTATGAGCTCAGAAAAAGGTGGATTAGCCTTCTGCATGCAACCACTTCCATAACCCACAGTAAATGACTTTTTAAAAGCACAAATAATGAAATACCTACCATACATTTCTAAAATGCACAGGAGAATGTTATATTCAATTTTGACTAGGAGTCAGAAAGGTATTTACCCCCGACAAAGCAATTTGGACCACAATTTATCAATCTGGACTAATGAAAGTATTTCTTTTTGTTCTTTTTCTGAGCTTGAGCTATGTGATCAGCCTTACCTTATCAGCCTGGTGCCGAGAGCTGGTTTGAATACATTGCTCTTCTAAACGTGCTATGGTAATACTCTGGTTGTTAACTAAAGAGGCTAGGAAATTGTACTTTTCCTGGAGGTCTTTATACTTGGAGGCCAACTTGAGAACTTCAGCAGTAGCATTGATGCTCTCCTCCTGGATGATGTCAGTTGATTTATTGTTCCTCTGGTGGACTTCATGGATGAACTGGGTACGGAGATGGCTGAGACGGGACCCCATGTTCCTATTCTCTTTTCTAAGATGATCCATTTCAGTGGCCACCTCATGGTCAACATCTACCATTTTTTTAAGCATTTCTATGTCAGTCTGCTGACGGTTCAGCTCCTGTTTTAGTTCTTCCACTTCACTTCTGTTTACTCCAAAAGCTTCAGGGAACTTTGCAGTGCTGATGCAGACAGCCCCAGTAATTTTTTGCTGTGGTACCACAAATGTGTATGTGCATTTGGGTCGACTTGCGCCATTGTTTTCTGAGTATTCAAATGACAGCTGAAGATAGCAAAGGTCTGGAAGAAAAGCTAACCAGAGAATGGTGTAGAAATTCATCTTAGTAAACATTGTTGATTTTCTCCTGTAAAGACAACATAAAAAAAGTCAGATATTACTGTTTACTAGGAATGCCACCATTACAACCACCAGAATATGGCTACAATCCAACATCTATAACAATCATCAACCATCATCTTCATTTCCAGGCTGCCTGTATAAACGGTTAAAATAGATCTAAACTCTAATTGATGATGTTGTGTTTGCCAAAGCACTTGCAATATATTTTTTCATAAAATACTGTTATTTTTTTCAGCCATTATTGCATCTCAGTGCTATTGATTTTCTCCAGCCTCTTTCACCCACTTTCTATTTACATGCACACATTCCAGTGTCAGCTGCACAACAACTTCCAGATAATGGTGGTAAAAATGGCATTAACAACGCTTACTGAATATGAGATTTTAGTGATTTGGTTTATATCTATTTCAACATAAGATTTTTTATTATTATTTAAAAAAATTCTACATGATGCCCATCCACCCTGGTTGTCGTTTATTGCAGTGCAGTAAGACTGCAGTTTATGTGACTTTTTCATTGGTCTAAGGCCCCAGAAGAACCCCTAAATTAATTTTCAGGTCTTGGAGAACACTATCTAAAACTATATTATTGGGAGTCACTGGAGAAGATGCCCTTACTTCGGTGATCGGTGGGATGAATGGCCCCTTACAGTGGTGGTCAGAATGCTACTCTTACAGATAGGTAAAAAAATAATTGTGTCTTGCTGCATGTTTTTCCAAGCAGCATTGGCTCTGGAACTATGCAAGCACCATCAGATAGGTGGTCCATCAGCCACAGCCCATGGAATGCCTAGCAACCTGTGGAGAAAGCCTAGATGAGAATGGCTGGCCTAAGACGTGTCCTCAAACTGTGGTAGCAATTAGGTGTGCACTGGCTTGTCTACAGCAATCAGCCTCATTCAATCAAGGAAGAACTGATGTCAAGGCATTGTGGGTGGACAGCTAAGCCATAACACCAGATGTAAAGTTGGCACCATATGTGCCTAATATCACCAATGGTATTGGAGGAGAAAGGACTAACATGGAAATTACTACATTTTGTGCTACTTTGTCAGCGACCTAGACTGCCTAGGAATCCATCATAAAAAAGTCTGAAGAGTCTGTATTCTTAAAACCCAACTCCAAGAAAGTTAAAAATTACCCCTTACAACAAGACTGCACCCACACTGCAAGGGTTGGTTGCTCGTTTAGGTCTAGAGGACAAAGAAATGCTGCTACAGGGTGGCACGGGTGCGCAAAATCACGTATATATACGTGATTTTGCTGTCCTGGGTGGAGCCGTTTGCGGCCTCGGCTGTCAATCACTGGGTCCCGGCCCGGTGATCACTGAGTATTACCGACGTGGGAGAGAACTGTCAGCTCCTGCACAATGCTTTGTATGGCTCTGTATAGCAGAGCCATACAAAGCAGTGTGCTTACAGTTGAAAGCACACAGAACATAATGTGAAACGGCACGCAGTTAACCCTTTGATCGCCCCCACATGTTAACCCCTGCCTGCACAGTTCCATTAGTACAGTGTCAGTGCTTTATATTAGCACTGATTACTGTATTGGTGTCACTGGGGATGTCACTGACACCAAGTCAGTTCCCCCCAGTGTCAGAATGCCTGCCACAGTCCCGCAGTACTGCTAGACGTTGCTGATCGCCGCCATTACTAGTAAAAAAAAAAGTTCCAATATATATACCGCCATTTGTAAATGCTATAACTTTCACGTAAACCAATTAATTTACACATAATAGGATTTTTTTTTTTTTTAGCAAAAACATGTAGCAGAATACATTTTGGCGTACATTTATGACGAAATCTGATTTTTAAAAATTTTTTATTGGACACGTTTAATAGCAAAAAGTCAAAAATATTGTTTTTTTTTTTTAAATTATTGGTCTTTTTTTGTTTATAGCGCAAAAAATTAAAAATGCAGAAGTGATCAAATACCACCAAAAGAAAGCTCTATTTGTGGGTGAAAAAAAAGGACGTAAATTTATGTACATTAAAAGACCATCAGAACAGAGTCAAAAAAGAACTAAATCTTGGGCAGCACAGTGGCTAAATGGTTAGCACTTCCACCTGGCAGTACTAGGGTCGTTGGTTCAAATCCCAGCCATGGCACCACCTGCCTGGAGTTTGCATGTTCTCCCTGTGCCTGCATGGGTTTTCTCTGGGTACTCTGGTTTCTTCCCACACTCCAAAGACATGCTGGTAGGATAATTGGCACCTATCTAAATTGGCCCTAGTATGAGTATGTATGAATGTGACTTAGGGACCTTAGATTGTACACCCCTTGAGGGTTAGGGACCAACATGAATGTACAACATCTATGTAAAGTGCTGTGTAAAATTGACAGCACTATATAAGTACCTGAAATAAATAAATATAAAAAGAGGGGACTGGATGGAAAGCAGATGGGCAGAGGGAAAAGTGTCTGGCATAAACAGCAATTCAGCTGGCTGAGCAGAAGGTGACAACAAAGAGGCAGAAAAAAAAAAACAGTTGCTTGAAAAGGGCCATGGACTAGGCAGAAGGTGACAACATTTGGAAATAAAGCTAAAAAGACAGACTATGAAGTAAAGCAGCTAAACAAAAAGCAGACACATCTGGGCAAAGTGAGAAAGTGACTGATTAGGTGGAACCTTGGAAGCAGCTGTCCAAGCAGGAAGCAAGAGAGACCTGGGCAGAGTGAAGACGATGCAGCCTTCCATAGATGGTCCTTCACATTGGCTTTATTTCAACTGCTCCTCAAGTCATAGAACAATTTTCCTGTTCTCTACAAGTTCCAGTATAATGTCTACATAATGTCTAATGGAAAGCACCATGATAGATTGCCAAATGCCTTAGAATAACACGGACAAGAAATAAAGCTGAGATTTTTAATGCTTTATCTTGCTCGTCTACATATAAGGTGAACATGTTCTCATCCAATTGTTTTTAACCATTAGCCGCCCGGCCTATAGCCGTTTGGCGGCCGCAAAAATGCTGTAGCTTTCCTGGGTGTACGCCATTTGGCGTCCTCCCACACATGCGCAGTTCGCGTGGTTGCAGAGCCGCGCAGCGGCGTGATCTGTCACCGGCTGTGTACCTCGGACACGGCCGATGACAGATCTGAGTACCGGCCCCCGTTGCCGGTACCATGTGACCTGCTGTGACCAATCACAGCAGGTCACATGACAGTTGTATTCAATGGGTGGCTTCATTCATGCCATCCATTGTATACTAGTGCCTAGCTGTGAATGGTCACAGCAGGTCACATGCACATGTCATGTGATTAGCTGTGGCCAAATCACAGCTTAGCACAAAAAAAAAAAACAAAAAAAAAAAAAAACCTGAATGAATCGATGTCATTCAGGTAAATGCTTGCTTATAGCAAAGTAATTCTTTGCTATAAGCAAATTGTGTAAAAAAAATACTGATCACTTCCCCAATGTAGTACAATGTTACTATGGTAACATTGTACTACTTTGGTCATAGTAAAATATGAAAAAAAAAATCTTAAAAAAAATCTTTAAAAAAATGTAATAAAAAATTAAAAATAATAAAAAAAAATATATATATATATATTTTTTTTTTTTTTCATACTGTCACCAGTCAGTGTCCCTGTTCACCGCCATGCCAGTTATATGATGTCGCTGTACTGCACTGGTGACAGTATGTAAAAAAAAATAGTGAAAATAATTTTTTTAATTTTTTAATTTTCCGAAAAATTATGACAAAAAAAATACAACTTCAAAAAACTCGCCATGCCTTTTATGAAGTACGTCGGACTGTCTACTCTGCAAAAAGGGGTCATTTGGGGGATATCTGTACTGTTCTGACATTCTTGGATTGGCTTGGATTTAGATTGGCTGTCAGTACTTCAGGATTGATCAATAATCAGATCTATACCATAGTTTGTGAACTCTATAACTTTCCTACAAACTAAAAAAATACATCCTAATTTGGGTTATTTTCACCAAAGACATGTAGCAGAATACATCTCGGCCTAAATTTATGAAGAACAATTATTTATTTGTAAACTTCTATAACAGAAACAAAGAAAAACTTGTTTTTTTTTTTTTCAAATTTTTTTTGGTCTTTTTTGTTAATTTAGCAAAAAATAAAAACCCCAGCGGTGATTAAATACCACCAAAAGAAAGCTCTAGTTGTGTGAAGAAAATGATCAAATTTTAGTTTGGGTACAATGTTGTATGACCGTGCAATTGTCATTCAAATTGTGAGAGCGCTGAAACCTGAAAACTGGCCTGGACAGGAAGGTGTAAAATTGCCCGGTATTGAAATGGTTAACAGGCTAGGATCCTTAACATCAGCAGACAACCCTTGGAGGCTGCTTAAACCAGCTTCTGTAACTGATCCTTGTTATTTTCTATATACACTATTCCCCAGGACCACACACTTATTATACCTATTGGCCCAATATATATCTTCTTTTCTTCAGCATCTTCCAAGTCTTATGCATGGAGACCTTTTGAACCCCTAAAATGTGTTGACTTTAACTGAAGGTGACTTTCATTCAATTCAACTTTTGAACTTTACACCACATGTCTGACGCTTTCCTGCTAGCATACTAGTCTACCTGAGATGTGTTATCCATGGCCCCTTTCACACGTGCGGACCGTTTGTCTGTTTTTTATCCATCCGTTGATGGATGAAAAATGGACAG